AGGGTGTTAACATTTTAATAATCTTTCGATTTATTATAATTTTCTTTCAAGTACTTTTAGCGTTTCGAATGAAATTTTGGGGGTAAAAATTACTGTTAGTGCTAATAATATTTTAATGCTAAAAAAGTATCGATAAATTTATCAGGGACGTGTATATGGGTTATTACTGAAATATTTTTCAAAAAAAAATGTGCGCCACTGACTTTTTTCTTTTGATATCAAAATTGTGTAGGCCGTTTAATGCCAATTAAAAGTTATCTCTTGATATTTTCTCGAATTCGGCCTCCTTGATGAGATAAACAATTTTACTAATCACAATAAAACCAAAATTAAAATAAAATTAATAAATTATATATTTTACCTAATTTATTATTAAATATTGATACTATTAATTATTATTAATCGAACCTACAGCAATTTCAATTAAAAAAATATTGGTATTTAAAATAATTACAAAAAACCTAATTATAAAAAGTTTTAACATCCTGTAATTCTAAAACTATGCATTTCCATACCCATGATTATAGAAACTTTTTTTTCATATTTTTTGATGAGGAATCCATGAGTACTTATTTAAAACTTTCGCAAGTTAATGATATTAATTTTTTTAAGGTTGCGATTAGACTTGGGATCAAGGCATATTAATAAAATTGCGTTATCTCATCAAGGAGGCTGAAATCGGCAAAATATCAAGGGACAACTTTTAATCGGCATTAAACTACTTACACTATTTCGCTAACAAGAGAAAAAAAGTCAGTGGCGTATACGCGTAAAAGTATTCCAGTGATAACCCATATCACGTCCCTGGTAAATATGTTGACACTTTTTAGCTTTAAAATATTTCGCATTTATAGTAAATTTTATTTTCAAAATTTCATTCGAAACTCTAAAGGTACTTAGAAGAAAATTATAATAAATCGAAAAAATATTAAAACTTTAACACCATGTACCTACAAAACAAAGCAGAATCGGACCTATGTTGATATGAAAAATAAATCTTATTTTTACGTGAGACATGGCACATGTTTTTTGAAACACCTTGTATATAGGTAGCGATCTATAAAATATATTGCATGTTTATTTAAATGTGTTTGTAGTAAATTGATCGTGCTCCAAATTCTGTCTGCATTCTTGAAATTCATTTCATAGACACAGCTCCAGTAGACGTACAGTACAATGAGAACTCTACGCACTCTACGCATTTCAAGACAGTTCCTACTGATTTACTCATTAATAACTGAACACTCTGTAAATTATTGGAATAAGAAGTAAGCCCTTTTATTGATTAATATTTCTCTATTTCAGAGGTCTTAAATGATGCAATTTTGACGAAGACCACGACGAGATGGTGGTAGTGAAAGACATCGAGATGTTCTCCATGTGCGAGCATCACTTAGTGCCGTTCTACGGAAAAAGTCTCTATCGGATATTTACCCTCCGGTAAAGTGCTAGGTCTAAGTAAATTGGCTAGGATCGTGGAAATCTTTTCCAGGCGACTTCAAGTGCAAGAAAGACTCACCAAACAGATTGCTGTGGCAGTTTTAAAGGCGGTTCAGCCTAATGGTGTAGCCGTGATTATAGAGGGAACGTAAGTGGTGCTCTAAATATCAATTAAAAGATAATATACCGGGTGTAAATAAGTAAGTGGCAATGACGAATAAGAATATTTTTCAGATATTTAATTAACTCTTGCTAGGCAAATCTCATTTTTGATATTAAAAGAGGGTTTTCAAAGATATTTAGTGCGATATCTACAGGGTTATCTATTGGAGATTGGAGGTACTTAGTAATAAACTTTAAACGTACCAACAGGCCAATAAGCGAGGGTTTTAGGGTCCGAATTTTGAATATCGGTTGACGTGAAATTGTAACAGTCAATAGAGATATATGTAAGAAACAAAAGTTACATAGTAGCGATGTGTGCTTTCACTCTGGGGGTGAGTACCACCCCTTCTCGGGGGTGAAAAATAAGTCACCCATTTTAAATACAAAAATCAATAAAGGGATGAATTCTAAGCAAAAAATGTTCTATAACATTTTTTCAGAAAATTAATATTTTCCTAGTGATTTAAGGTTGAAAATGTTGCATATTTTTTTGCCAATTTTTATAAATAGGTAACTCAAAAACCTTGCGTTTTATCGCAAAACTCATAAAGCAAAAATGAAGCTTTTGGAAAAACTAAGCCATCCATTTTTTGTTTATTACCGTAGGTGTAATAATAGCCGAGTTATCATTATGTAAACTTGATTTTTTATTTTTTGAAAACTAAATTGCAACTTATTACCGTAAAATAATGGCGAAAGAACACATTTTTCGGAGAAAATAAATATGACCGTTTTTAAAGTGCTTAAAAAGACCTTTTAAATGCTTTCTTAAAAAAGTTCGTAGCTTAAAAACTCGCGGAGTTATGATAAAAATAATATGGCCACCTCATTATTTCGGAAAAAAATTTAACAACAAAATCTATGACTAAAATCATAAAAATAAAAACTAAGCGTAATACATGTACATTTGGCTATATTTAGGTACTAGCAATTGACTCTACAAGTTCGAGCGGTTTAGAATGCCTAAATTTGGAAATAGGTGGAAAATAATGAAAAAAAAATTTTTTTGTTTTTTAAAAAATTTTAATTTTTTTGACATATCTCAAAAACTAAGCAAGATACGTAAAAAATGCAACAGAGGAAAATTGATGGTCTTTTATTTTGCAATATTTTTGCTCCCTTTTAATTTTTCTGTAGATCTCTTTATTTCGTAGATATTACGTTTTTTTAGTTTGACTTGCATTTAAGGACCACCTTCTTTGAGCCCTTAAAACCCAAAAATCTCGTGAAAATGAAGAGTTCAAGACTGTTCAACTATAGGGGTTAATTTATAGCTCGTGTAATTTCCTACAAATTGATAGTTTTTATTTTTATGATTTTAGTTATAGATTTTGTTGTTAATTCTTTTCCGAAAAAATGAGGTGACCATTTTATTTTTATCATAACTCCGCCAGTTTTTAAGCTACGAACTTGAAAAGACCTTTAAAAAAAGACATTTAAAAGGTCTTTTCATGCACTTTAAAAACGGTCATAT